TTTGGTACTGGGGATTGAACTCAGGACCTTGCGCTTTTGAGGCAGGTGCTGGAACCACTGAGCTAAATCCCCAGCCCCGAGCCTTAATTACTTTTGCTAGTATTGATGTCTCTTTGCAGAATCAGTTGGTGACCTGAGGTCTAGTGGATAGTTGAACTCATTTCTCCCTCACAGCAATCCACTATTTGTTTTTTTTAAATAAGCTGATCTGGAGAAAGGTTTTTTGGTTGAAAGAAGAGAATCTACTTAAATTGACTCAAGGACAAAGGGCGATGATGATAAAACATTTCCCCCATAGGCTCCAAAGACAGGAAATTAAATATAGGCTTTACTTCTAACATACAAGTTTGGGCCATAACTCAATTCTAAGAAAGAACAAAATCTGCATTAATGAGGTCTCCATTAATTATAAGAAGATCTTGACCAGGAACTAATAATGTGGTCAGGAGCTAGCACTATATAAGGAAATACTGTTGCAAAAGCAACACCAGGGCTTTTTCCTGTGGCTGTGCCTTGATTTATCCTAGCAATAGATGATAACTATACAAATGAGATAAAAGTGTAAGAGTACATAAAGCATTTCACTTTGGTGATGGGAAAAGAAAAGAAAATATTTTTAAGCCAAAGCCAGAAGTCACCAAATGCTGGATTTGCTCTTTGATGTTTAGATTTTACTCTTTAGCTACTGTCAAAGGACAAAATTACACCAATTTAGCTTAATAGTTTTAATTAGCTTTATTTTCTATTCTAGAGTCAGGCAACACTTCATTCCATGAAATAAAATACGCATTCTGATGCACTGGGCAGAAGAGATTGGCTTTATAGACAGAGAAAAGCTGAAGAGAGCAAAAATAAAAGAACTAAAAGCATATTGGTCATTTCAAAGTTACTTTTCTTCTAAAGTGAGAACAGTGAGTCAGAACAATAGAAAACTAATTAACTGGTTAACATCTGCTTACTTTAGGTTGCCTATTTTCTTGTAAGGATTAAAGCAAAAGGGACTTCATTATCATGGTAATTGAACCAAACTTCCTCTAGGCTTGGTGGCACAACTATTTGGAAGGCTGAGGCAGGAAGATTGCAAATTCCAACTTAGTGAGACTCTGTCCAGATAGACAGACAGACAGACAGACAGGGACTGGGAATGTAACTTGGTGGTAAAGCAACCCTGGGTTCAGTGCCCAAAAGAGAAAAAGAAACTGCCCTGTTGTAGAAATTTGGCTGTTACCTTCTAATCCTGATTTCTCCAAAAGTCTGACAGCTTAGTTCAGCTTGATGACCTGGAACTTAAGCAAGAGTGACTACACTTTGATTTTTAGTTTGGTCTGTTTGGGCCAATGCAGGAGTTTAATCCAAAACAATGGTCTCCTATTTAATATTATAAAAAGCATCCTTACAGCAAGAAAAACTTTTTTTTAAGAATCTGAAATTCTCCTCTTCACATTCCCTTTCCATCATTAAAATAATGTATTTTTTCCAAATGAACAATTTCTGAGGAGTGCAGAATTGATTGGTGTAGGGAGATTGCAAGACAAGTCAGAGGGCATCAGGGCCTGAGGCCATTCTCAGTGACTTGCCCTCGCTAGGCTTTGGTCTCTGCTTTTCTCTGCCTCCTCTCTCCTACCTGGCTTCCTCTGTGTAAGTTCTCAGCTGTAGTGTGCTCATCTCCAGAGCCTGCCATCACCAGGGTAACAGCTAGGGTTTAAGGGATTATAAAATCCCCTAGTACAAATTCTTCATTTGACCAGTTTAACTCAATTTATAGCTTGACATTTTTAGTAGAGCTAAAATGTTTAACCTTTATATTGCCACCAAGCCAAAAAATACATTCTCCAGCTTCCCTTGAATCTTGGGATAGCCCTGAGGCTAAATCCTATGCAATGATACATAAGCAAAAATGCTATGGGAATTTTCTGGGCCCCTTCCTTGAGGTGAATGGGCATGATGATGTCATGGCTAGAGTTCCTACAGCCATCTTGGACCATGAGCACAACAGCTACACCCTTGACTTAGCAGAGCGTGAGCATGAAGCAGTCTGGGTCACTGATGACCACGGGTGACCATGTCCATGTTTCCCAGGAAAGGGGCCTGGGCAGAGCAAGGAGACCACTGGGAGCATCCACCACAGTGGGTGTGTTCCATCGCTAGATGAGCTGGTCTACATGGAAGGGAAAGGTTAAGATCCATGATGATGGCCTGATACCATACAACATGCACCAGAGTGAAAATTATAATTCCCAGGCAAAAGGCTCTGGGAAGTGGGCTGTAGGCCAGGTCAGCAGGTCCCCTGAGTGGATGGAAGTCAATTGTTCTGCTAATAATTAAAGAAATATTGGTTGTATTTTGAAGGGATCTGGGTAACTCATTCCCTTGGGCTACTTAGGGTTATGATTTATAGGCAGCAAAATCACTTAAGACAATAAAGCCCCCAGGCCTGCTGGCAAACTGCTGAGATTTTTCAAGAAGAAAGGCACCATTTAAACATCTCAATCAGCTTTTCTCAAGTGAATGATGTCCTGAGGAAATGGGTTTCAAATGTTTCTCCATCATTTACACCCTCAGGAAGAAAGATGAGAGGAATAGAGAAAAACCACTGCAAGGGCTCCTCAGTCCATTTCAAATATTTGACAAGTTCAAAGTCCTGGAACAGATTTCCAAGAACTACAACTCCCAGAAGGCACAGGGCCCACCATCCTTTCCTTCCTTCTCTCTATAGCTCTTCCTTGATGAAGAAAAATTGGTTCAAATATCAATTGATTTGAGAGCCTCTAGTCCGTAAAAGGAAGAATATGTGTCAGTTTCAAAACCTACCTTTCTTCTACATAACCATGACCAACCAGATTACGAACTCTCTGTTCAACTTCAAGCAGTAGAACCTCAAAAGTCTGAACATAGCTTTTGTCTGCAGAAGAAGCACTGGGCTGCCAATGCTACTTGCCCCCCCCCCCGCCAGGTCACAAGCACAGCAGGCACATACAACACAAAGGTCACACACTTCAAGAATTGAAGAAAGAAATCAGTTGTCCTCTATGTTCAGCAAAGAAAACAAATTCTCTGAAACAGAATACAAGAAAGCAAAAAGAAAATAGTTCATTCTCAGGTAGTCTCATAGATCCCAAGGAAGACATCAACTGCTGTAAACATCTAATCTTTATGGAAGACCACTTGTGATTAATTTCATGTGTCAAATTGCTTGAACTAGGGCTGCCCAAATAGCTGCTAATACATTATTTCTGGGGCGGTCTGTGGAGATATCTTGGAAGGGATAAGCATCTGAGTCAGTAGACGGAGAGAGAAGGCTGCTCTCGCCAATGGCAGTGGGCACCAGCCTATCTGTGAGGGCCTGATGGAAGCAAAGAGATGGGAAAGGATGGATCTGCACTGTATTTGATCTAGGACTCTATCTTCTCCCACCCTCAGAGATCAGCACTCAGGGCCTTCACGCTTCACACTTACTCTCTGGGCTCACCCGGTCTTCGGGTGTCAGGCTGGAACCATCCCACCAGCTCTCCTGGGTCTCCATCTTGCAGAGAGCAGACCGTGGTACTTCTTGGCTTCCATAATCAAACAAGCCAACCCCTCACAGTAAGTCTCACTCAGTACATCTACATGTGTCCTATTGGTTTTGTTTCTCTGGAGAACCCTGACTAAACAACCAGCCAGATGAGAAAAGCAAAGCCCATTTTTTCATAGTCTGCTGTAGCACAGGCACCTGCCACAATCACTTGCATTCAGCAGTGACTCAAAGGCAGGGACAGCTTTAAAGCAGTAAAGAGGAAAGGCTTCAGAGATGCTCTGATTGGAGACTTTTGGTATGGGGAACCAACATGTGGGTTAACTGAAGCAGGGCATCCTGGTTAGCAGTGCATACTTTGCTTTCTGTAGTTAGTGCTAAGTTAGAAGGGGGGGGGCAAAATTTAGGAATGCTATTGGTTATTAATTATGTCCTGGCTATTTTATGCCAATTGTTTAGCTTTCTGGATTGTTGCTAGAGATAGCAATCCAGCTTCCTGCATGTCTGGTGCACAGCAGGCTGGCTTCCTGCACTGTTTATTGTAGTGGGGGACTGGTTTCCTGGGGGGTGGGGTGGATGCTGCCATTTGTGGGTCGGAGCTCTATCTTTATATGTGGTCTGGCCATTGTCCATAAGCACATTCAGTCCCTCATTTTCAGATAGACGGACAGCCATCTCTGGGCAGCTGATAGCCAGTAAGCTGATTCCCATGGTTTCTGGGAGCTGCTTTGGGGCAGCTAATTCCTCTAGGCCACCTTCCCCAGTTGCCTAAGGATACACCTATTTGAGTAAGCATATCCTCAGTTCAGTGCACCAAGGTGGCCGGCGAGGAAGGGTGGGAAGCATAGTGGTTAGAGTAGTAATGGGGCTCTAGAAGTGGAGAGAAACTGCTCTGTGATTCTCAGCCAGGCTGTCAGAGTCCCTGGGCAGCTCCTTCCCCAAAGATTCTGACTTAGTAAAACAGGGCTGGAGGTCAGAAGTTTGTCAAACTTTCCAGGTGATTCTGAGATGTTGCCCAGATCAGCAGCTAATAACCAAAACAGGGGAGCAGATGCTTAGAAATCAGTGAGAATGAAACTGGAGCAGGCGGCCCTGAAGTCCTCGATCTTTCAGTCTTGTGATATTGCGCTGTAGAAGTCTAAAATGCAGAGTGAAGCTAAATGAAAGCAGCAGATCAGCAGAGGCCATGGCCTGCACACCACCAGCCACCACAGCGTCCAGACCTCGGGTATGGAACAAAGGAGTGCACTTGAAATTGCCGTGCCATTCTGAGATGGAACCTAATCTGAACAGCATCCTTTGTTTTTATTTTTAAGCATTAAAACATGTATCTCCTCTTTTAAAATACATACTGTTTCTCATAGTATGTGTGATGAGTTCGTGTTTTCAATCTATGTTGACACGTTTCTCACATGCTTTAAACCAAATAATTGAATTTTGACCATATAAACTAAAACCTCAAAAAAAAACCAACACTCACTCTCCAAATGGTTACTATTTTTTTTTAATTTCTAGTCTATTTAAATTTTCAAATGAACCAGTTTGATATGAGTTAATACAATACCACCCCCTGGTGGACAGCTGTAAAAAGGATTCTGTGTGTGATTTAACTTCAGAATTTTAATGTCATGTAACATACTGGTGCCCCGTCGCCCCCAGCAGAATGTTCTCTTCGAATAAAATCACAGCAAAAGCTCAAAAAACAAAGAATAAAAACTGAGCTGTGCTGGGAGCTTTGTCTTTCTTACATTTTTTTTTCTGTTGACCCTGTATCTTCACCAGGATGTCCAAAATAGAATTATCACCAAACATGTCATCTCTCCCAAATTAAAATTAAGTTCATTTCTTCTTAAGCTTTCTTACTTCAGTGAATAACATCTCCTTTCCCACCCACCCAGCCAAAAACCCACCTGAGAATTCACAATGCATAGACATTTTAAAGGCTCTACGAAAACCTGAGCCAATAAACCAGGTTCAATTTGTTTAACTCTGAAATTCCCAGACTCATTCCCCTCCTGCTCAATACTGCTTGGCAACCTGCAGAACACTTTTTGGTTATATATCATTCAGAATGATTGTTCCATCTCAATCAGCAAATTAGCTCTTTGGCTGCTTACAGTATTCAATCTTCAAAAGTGCTTAGTCAACTATACCATGAGTCAGCTCCCAAACATTTGTAGTAATGAAACGTACAACCTTGAGAGGATGACCCTAGGGAGCTACTGGATTGATGCCACATCCACAGGCAGCTTCATCTCTGTCTTCCACCACCATCACCAGCTGTGGGTAGGAAGCCAATCTACTAACAATAGCAGTAATCTTGCTTTGTTTTCAATTAAGTGCTCTAAGTCTGCATTGCATAAGCATCATTGATTTGTTTTAGAGGGATTATAATGATCATCTGGCTATAACCTTAGAGGGTCATACACAACTCTGCAGTTGACAGTGATTTAAGTGTTTGCCATACATTATCTCCTCTCGCGAATTTATGAGCCAAAAAGTATCAAAACCTTGTAGCTTTCAGCATTCATGTAAATCAGCATAGACACTCAGACACCAGATCCAAAACAAATCTTATTCTATATCACCAGCATTTTTAACAAAATACACCTTCACGCCCTGTGCTGTTAGCCTAGATTTCCTAAGCATACTGACACATATTGCTTCATTTCTCATTTTGAAAACAAAGAATATCTAATTAAATTTTCATGCAATAGAAAAATTATTTGAACCTGTTCTGCAGCTTTAAGTGTGCTTTGATCAATAGCGTCTGGGGCTGTTAGCTGTCATTTCATGTTATCTACAGCTTTGATGTCAGAGCTGGGGTCCTGAGGGCTTGGGCGCACTCGCTCACCAGCCTGGCAGCCTCCAGAGCAGAGCCCCAGTGCACTGAGATGCCCCCACTTCCGTGGCCATAGTGGTGGACTATGGACAGCCTCTGTCCATCTCTGGCCAGGACCTCTTTCTGCAGCCGCACACTTGGTCTGTTGGGCCTCAAGCCCACCCTCTCCTTCACACTGCAGGCCCTGCACAGGGAGGGCTCCAGAGCACAACATCTGGAAAAAATATCCCTGCTAATTTCTGCATCTGGGGACAGATTCCAATCTCCTTTTTGCCTAGTTCCACCCAAGGTGACTTGAGATGCACCGGGGTAAATATACGTCAGCCCACTCCCATCCCGGATAAAATGCTTCACCCAGGGGGCCTGGACTTGGAGTACTTGACCCCTCACAGGAAAAACTGTTGCGTCTCCCACAAGCTCTCGGCTTCCCACGCCTGAACAGTTGACCACAATGTCGAAGGACGGCTGGAGCTCCCACAGGTCTTCTATTCGCCTGTGGAGGAGCAGGCCTCCATGGGTCTTCAGCCTGGAGAGGAGAGACCACCGGGTGAGACTTGGTAGCCACCTGCCCAGTCACTCCCAGGAAGTGAAGGACAGGAACACAGGAGCAAAACTGAGGGGACAAACTGTCAGACAAACACACACCTCAAGAGCTTCCCGGGCCCGGGGAGATCAAATTCCACCCAGCACCTGCCTCACATCCTGGGAAACCAGGGATTCCAAAAGTTGGCCCTAAATGGAACTTACAGTATTTTGAAAACCCAAAACAAAGGAAATTGTTTTGTTTTGTTTTGTTTTTTACTTTTTGTGGCATTGCTATGTCTTTCTAGATGCACAATAAATATGAAATTGATCTGGTACTTTAAATTCCCAAGCATTTTTTAAAACACCATTCGTTTAACACCTGAATTTACTACTGTGGGCATTTTCTGTCACACTGGTAACTCTTGCTTTCTCTCTCTCTCTCCTTTTTTTCTTTTTTTGGTACAAGGAACCTAACTCAGGGCCGCAAGCTTGTCAGGCAGGCACTGTGCTACTGAGCCACATCCCCAGCCTGACACTGGTAACTCTTGCCTGTTCTTCTGTATTCATCTGCTCTCCTTAACTACATAGTTGATCAGGTGCTGCCTTTCCCCCTTTACAGGGCCCTTAGCACAGGAGGAACACAAAGTATTTGCAGCTGATGGGCTAAATGACAGTTGCTGTTGGTAATTATTTTAGACCAAGTATATCAATAATGAAAAAGTGCTTTAAGTCTTAAAATCACTTTTAAAATTGTGGTAAAAAACATGTAACATAAAACCATTTGACCATTTTTTAGTATACAATTCAGTGATACTGAACACTTTCACATTGCTGTACAGCCATCACCACCCCCCTCCAGAATATTTTCCATCATGCAGATTGGAAACTCAATAGCTATGAAACAATAACCACTGTAACCTTGTCATCTTCACCCCATGCAACCCTATAATCATACTCACAGGTCACTTGAGGGTATGAAAGACTTTCAGCAGTTCTGTTCAACAGATCCAGGCTGAAAGTCTAGACACAGGGCACTGCTAAGAGGGATAAAACCTGTGTGAGGCATCAAAGAGTGACAAAGGCACTGGGGGACAATGTTAGTGGCTGGCAGGGTAAAGTACACTCTAAGCATATGTATGTGTGTATATGTGTGTATGTGTGTGTGTGTTTGTACTCTACCTGCCCTGAGAGAGGAGCAGTAAGCCCAGCAGTTCTGAGCCCCACACAGAGGTTTCATGAGAAGAAAAAAAAGACAGAAACTTTAGGAGCACAGCCAAGATGTGGCAGAGAAGATGTTAAATTACGGTCCAGTTTGGTCACTGATTTTAACTTAGAGAAAAAAGGCTCTGAAGTTATTCTACTGGTCTACCTCCACTTCCTAGTGAGAAAGTTCAACCTAAATTTGTATTGAGTAAGATTTGTAGGAAACTGACTTTCTGATACTCCCTTTCTAGAAAATTCCACAGATCAAGGAGAGTAGAAGAGGCCAATTTTGCGCTTAACTGCATCACAGAGCAGACCTGAACTCCCACAGATCATCTTCTGATCTGTAAAATAGATACTTGCATTTATTTGTTTGTTTCTTTGTCCATTTATTGTACTTCGGATTGAATGCAGGGCTCTTGGACTGAGCTTCATTCCCAACCCTTTTAAAAAATTTTTCTTTTGAAACATGATCTTGTTAAGTAGCCCAGGCTGGCTCAAACATGAGATCCTCTTGCCTCAGCTTCCCAGAGTGCTGGGATTATAGGCATGTGCCTCCATCCCTGGCTAAATGAGCAAATTTATCATGGAGTTCTAGTTTCTCTGCGGCTGACTCAAGGTGAGCTGCTGGCCAGTCTCTGTCCCTCTCCACACGCCCTTCCTCTGCAGAGACTCTGAAGCATCTCCAGTGTGAGCACTGTGAAGAGCAGTTTGAAACCTCTGGGTTAAATTCCTGTATTCACTCAACAAATACTCACAGAGGGTCTCACTGGGAACATCCTGGGCTAGGCTGGGAGCACTCAGAGGCTATCTCCTGCTCCACGGTGATCTCAGCCTGCTGTGTGCTCACTAGGCAGCACGAATGAGTATTTCAACCACCAGCGTCCCCAAGCACAGGCACTTTCGCCCTACACATCCTTGCTTGTTATTCTGAAAATCCACGGAAGACAATGTGCCATTTACCAAGATGAGAAAGCCAAAGCAAAGAATTTGCAAACATCCACACTTTAGGGCCACAGAGAATGAAGGAAGCCTTTGATGTAACTAATAGTGGTTAAGAGAAGTGAATGAGGCTGGGACTCTCTCTCTTTCTCTCTCTCTCTGAACAGCTCATACATAAAAAGCAGTATAGCAAATTTTACGAGCACAAGTTTTCAGCTCTCTCAGTGGAACCAACAGTTGACAGCTTAGATTATGTTTTTTAGATGTACAATAATAGATAAGTCCTCTTAAAGGTAAAATAACTCTGCAAGTTGTTTTGTTTTGATTTTCTTAATATTAGCATAGAAAGAAGAGTGATTGGAAGCTGGGTGTGGGGGCACACACCTGTAATCCCAGCACTCTGGAGACCAAGACACAATGATGTCAGGTTCCCAGCCAGCCTGGGTTACATAGTGAGACCCTATCAAAGAAGAAGAGGAAGAAGGAGAAGGAGTAGGAGAAGGAGAAGGAGAAGGGGAAGAGACAAGGGAAAAGGAAGGGGAAGAGGAAGAAGGAGAGGAAGAAGAGGAGAAACAGGAAGAAGAGGAAGAGGAAGAGGAAGAGGAAATTATAATTTTGTGGTTACACAGACCACACCTTGTGGTTCTAACCTTTTAATGAAGTAAACACCAAAAGCAGACTTTCAGGTAGGGTTTAGGGGGCCTCTCTCTTACTCTTCATATGACCTGGACAAGTTCTCCAATTTCTCTAAGCTTTAATCCTTTGCCTCTAATGTGGGTATTTTAATACTGACTTTATAGGTCATTAGGAAAATGAAATCAGACAATGTCTGGAAAAGGTCTGACACAATGCCTAACATACTGCAGTTGTTCCTTAAAGATGTTTTTATAAGAAAAATAAAGTGGGTTGCAGTGTCTTACACTACTATGAAATATGAGATCCACTATACCATCTGTGAGTGTGCCTGTTCTCCACACCCAAATATTAGGTTTAATGAAGTATGGCATTTAGATTTTTTAACTTTTTGGTGGATCATTATTGGAACATTATCTTGGTTTTGTTTTTCTTTTAATAAACTATGGGTTCCAGGTGGGAATATTTGAACATTATGATCTGTGCTCCAGGCATCTTAATTAGAACTCAGAATTATTTTCCTAATTCACAGAAATCAGAGAACTCACCAGGCACATTTCATACATTTGCTGGACTTATTTCCTTAGCTATAACCTAGGGAGAAGAGTGCCTGGCTCACATAGCTGTTCTGATGATTATGTAAGCAGCCAGTAAATGCAAATGTCTTTCCTTTCTGTTTCGATGGCCCCCTACTGAAGCTACAATGGAAGTCCAGCTTGTAACTGGCCACTACTGCAGTGATCATCAGATGGGCTGTGGGCAGGCCCTGCCAAACTTGCCATCCTGGCTCTTTGCCGGGCCTTGTACCCCAGGAGGAACCTAGTAAGTGTGCCCAGGGACTGGCCATTTTGCACCACCACCCTGTGACTGCAGGGTGGTGCCCCATCATTCTTATACACCTGCTGGCAGCATGATGACTCTAGGGCATAGAAAGTTGTATCCTGAAGCTGATGTCAACTTAGGTGACCAGGAACCTGAAAGGTTGCTACTGCAATCTTATGAGGTAGCAGCTATTCTGGAAGTTTTTGGTGACATGGTTCAGGATGTAAGAGGCTTGGTGACTGTCCTTTTGAGACTTCCTGAAAATGACCAAGATTTCATCCTGGAAAGAAAGAATATCATTGCTCCAACCTCCCATGAGGAAATAGGACCTCTGCTCACTAAATAGCCCCAGCCCAGTGTCTTCTGATCATCGCTCTAAAATGTAAAAGTGCCCATTCTGCCAGACCTAACGGCCAGCCCCCAGCTGGATTGCATCAACCTGATTATAAACACAGGAGATAGTAGTCTTTGGGGCTCTTCCTGCAACTCACTGGGAGTTTCAGCAAGGAGGGAAATTGAACTGCCTGCACCCTTGAGGGAGAAAGAAATTGCAGTTCCACTACGTACTGCATACTTCTTCTCCCTCTCTCTCCCCTGCCCCCCTCCTTCCTCTCTCCCTCTCTCTCTCTCTCTCTCTCCCTCTCTCCCTCCCCCCCTTCCCTCCCTCTCCACTTCGCACCCCAAATCCCTCCATGCACTTGGGATTAGAGACAATTTCCACATCTTCCCTCTCACTCCTGCCCCAGCTCTGGTGAGAAAGGAATCCTGGCAGCACTGAAGAGGAGGACTTCATGCTGTGGATATGCTCTCCTGGCAGCCCTGGGGCAGTGGGCACTGCCTAAGGGAGCAGGGGCCTTGGAGCCTCTGAGTGGGAGGACAGGGCAGAAAGGAGGGACATAGGAGGGGCACAGCCATGACACAGCTAAACCCATAGAGTCAACATAATGCCCTGGAACCCACGGGTTTAGGACCCAACTGCTGAAACTTAGACCCTAATTGTTTAGGGAACTTAATGAACAGAAACTGCAATCTTTTTTTCTTTGGTCACTTAAAATTGCAGAGTGGCTTGTAATGTGAGAAAAGATAGACATTTTAATATTCCTTTGAGACAAAGTATACCTCATTGGAAAGTATTATCCAAAGAGCTTCTGGCTTATGCAGACAGTGAAAACTCCCTTCTGGGGACAGCCCGCACTGGATGAGGTCGGTTCCTCTGTGAGCTGCTTCTGGAAGATCAGGTGCTTTGGATGGGTTTCTATGGCCTAGCCAGCAGGAGAGGGGGTGGCGCTGTATTCATCCCAGACTGGAGTCCCAGGCCCCCTCAGTGTCCCCCCTCAGGGACAAGAACTTGAGGCTCAGATTCTGAGAGGACTGGGAAGCGCAAGTGCCCAGTGCTGCCTGGTGACTGAGGATTCAGAGCTGGGAGGCAGACATTTCTCCCCACTGTCTGTGGCGCCCACTTAACTCTGAGCCCAGGAAGGTGGGACAGCCCATGGCAGGGTCGCTGTCTAAAGTTAGCCAGAGTGACAAAACTAAAGGAAGCCTTTGGATCACTGTGAAGACAGGGTTGACTCTGCAAGATGCTGTGTGGAAAGACTTTATTAGACAAAGCAGTTTTGTGATGTGTTATGTAAGCATGATGAGATGTCATCAGTTTTTAAAATTACCCCTTGCTGGGCCCAGGATTTAGCTTAGTGGTTCCATCGCATGCCTCACAAGCACAAGGTCCCAAGTTTGATCCCCAGTACCAAAAAAAAAAAAAAATTCTGTCATAAAATTACTCCTTGCGGGCCAGGGATTTAGCTCAGTGGTTTCGCTGCCTGCTGTGCAAGCACAAGGACCTGAGTTTGATCCCCAGTACCAAAAAAAAAAAAAAAAATTACTCCTTGCTTTCAATCTGAAGCATGATGCCTTATTAACAGTGGTCAGAATATTAACTGTTCAGTCTGTTTGTCCAAAAACAAGAAAGAAAACTAAATCTCAGTTGGCAAGAAGTACTATGTACACAGACTTACAGGGGGAAAAAACTGCCATCTCTTCATGGTGGCACTTTACACTGCTGTCTCTGATATAACTTATCATAGAATTTTAAAGTGTATTTTAGGTTTACAAGGAAATTAACTGAATAGAGTCTAATTTTAACCTGAAAATGTTGTCTCATCTGACCAGTATGGTCCTCACTTATTCCCTTGCAATGAAATAAACTGCATTTGCCTGGCACAGGGGTGTACACCTGAAATCTTGGATACTAGGGAGGCTGAGGCAGGAGGTTTGCAAGTTCTAAGCCAGCCTACACAACTTAACAGGGCTATATCTAAAAAAAAAATTATAAGAGGACTGAGGGTATAGCTCAGTGGTAGAGCATGAGCCTCTGAGTTCAATCACTACTATAATAATAATAATAATAATAATAATAATAAACAATAAACAACCACACTCTATTTCACACTTTTCTAAATATCTACCCAGGCCTGTCTACTCCATGAACTCATATTAATCACTCCTATCCCTGTCCTAGCACGGAGCAGCCTCTAGCCCCTTAGAGGAAGAAAGTGTGGATGAGACCCAAGATTGTACAAGCAGGGCTGTCCTGGAGGTGGCAGCCATGCATCCTCAGTCTATCTAGCAAGTGGGGTTGAGGGGAAGAAATTGATATCTGCAGCTGCCCTGGGGCAGCTCCTGAGTCCATAATGGAAGCCCCCATGGCTACTGTACCCTCCATGGCTACCACCTCTGTTCCTTACAAATCTATTGCCATCATTAGAAAAAGCACAGTCATTTTCCACCTCCACTTCACTCTTGCCTAACTAGGGAGAAATGGAGTGCTTCCATTCCACCCTGTGTCTGGGGCATTTTGCCTCCTGCTCTTCCGTTTGGGGTGGGGGATAAGAAAACCTGGAGGTGCTAGGAATGTAGATTTTGCTTCACCAGGGCTGCTGTGCATTCGGTGGGAGGATCAGGGGTCTGCTCCACACAGGAAGAGATCTTTCCAAGATGGATACGTATCAGGCTGGGACAGCCTGTCGCGCTGCTGATGTATGATATAGGTAAGTACTTCTGAACAGCTACAGAGGAGGTCACACGAGTCAGGGCAGGTGGGAGAACACAGATATAGGAAAAGAAAAAGGTGGGGAACCGAAGGCCCTCTCAGAGAAAGTCACTGAGAGGCTTTATCAGAGAGTGGGGAAGAAGGTACAGGAGAGCTCAGCCTGGTACCTCTATGGTCAGTGCAGGCCTCCTCAGGGCCATAGGGTGACGCATGGGCTCTGGAAAGAAATCAGTGGGCCTGAGCTGCAGGCCCCCAGCACAGAAAAGCCACGCAGCTTTCTAGGTGGCATCAAAAGCAGGAGACTCTGATCCCTCCAGGACAATTTATTAAGGTAGGTTGCCCCACGGGAGACTTACGGCCTGTATGATTCATTTCCTACAAGGGACAAACAAAAAGGCAGCAGGATATGACTCTACCATCTGAAGATACAAAATATGACATGTGTGTGAGAGTGCCAACCTCTGGGGGGGTTTTGTTTGTTGGTTTGTTGTGGATATTACGGAGCATTATTCTTCTGTTTTTTGAAAAATACTAAAGATCTAGGTTGTGATATAAGATTGGTGCTGAGGCTGAAGCCACTGTTGTGTGGCTTGCTGAGTGAAATGTTCGTTTTTGAGTCAGAACACTGAAGGCGGAACACTTGCATTGTGTGGAAGAGATGTAGGAGGCAACAAAACAGACCCTGGGTGTGGGGAACAGGCAGATTGTGCAGCTGCCCATCTGGGTCGGCTTGGGGGAGGCATGTGGGTAGCAGTGCACAGTGTGAGCCTGGTGTCCCACCCCCTCCCCAGTACACTGTCCTGCCTCCCCCTGGCTTGGAATTCTCCCCCTGGAAGGCTGCCCTGGGGTGAGTCCTCTCTGACCTGCAAAACCTCCCATGGGAGAAAAGGGGACAGACCCCCCTTTTTCTCCACCACACTGGCCATCTGGCTGGACACTGGCTCTCGTTCTATATATGCAAATATTCCCCCATCTGAAAAAATCCAAATTCAAAGCACTTCTGATCCCAAGCATTTCAGATAAGAGATATTCACCCTGAACATAGAATTGGGGACTGCAATGGCCTGTATTTCACAACCCTAAATCTGCCTGTGATGTCCAGACTAAACAAAAAAGAGAACTGTCAATAGGTTTCAAAAAGAATACTCTTAATGTGTTTCCTTTCTAACTAGAAACAGGAAGTCCTGAAAACCAAGCCAAAATGCAAGTTCAAGGTATTAAGGACTGAATTTAGAAACGAAGCAATTTCATAATCTGCATAGGTCCTCGGGCTTAGAGTTCTTATTTATGACAAAAGAAAACATGAAGCTATTTTTTATTTACCAACAAGAAAAAAATCAAAAGTCATTCATGTAAATGTAAGATTATTTTCATGCAAAGAACTAAATCATGTCATTTTATGCTGAAAGTAAGTTCTCCAGCTTCTCCATTTTATAAGATGAGGAAACTAAGAAACTGTTTCAATACGCAGGTTTCACAGGGGTAGGGGGCAAATGAGACATCACAGTACATGTTGAAAACAGACATAAAACATGTTCCTCTGTGCGTAGTGTGGATTTAGTCCTTGTAACACAAATACTACCTTTGGGTTGTTTTACAGAGCCAGGGCCTAGCCATTATGAGCAGCAAGACACAATGCAAAAGAGCCCGGAGAATTTCCAGTAAGTGTTTTATGAGTAGCTGTGAAGTTATTTATGGCTATGACAGATAAAGAAAGCAGCAAAGAGCCATTTTAACTGACCTTTTCTCCAACCATGGGAGATAGATCAAGGTTTCACATTTCAGGGTAGTGAAGGAATGACCAAACACATATCGGGGGAATTTCTTCAGCTCAGCCTCAGTCATCTTTCGAAATCCCAGAACCACGTCAGCCCAGAATGGCGCTTGTTCTGTAGGAATGCTCTGAAATATCTGCCAACTCAAACACAGGGAGTGGAAATTTTTCCTGAAATTTTGTGAAATAATATATTTCTAGTAAGCTCCATTTGACATTCTTTACAGCATTTGAGAATTTATCTCTTATAAACACAAAGAGAAAAGGTTCTGTTCTTCCATTTTCTGGGGTTTAGATATCTTAGAAGCTAAATTTCAGATGTTTATGTTTGGAGGAATAAGGCATTTTAAAACTAACAAGCCAGGCTGAGGGTTATCTCAGTATGTGCCAGGTCCTGGCTTCAATCCCCAGTCCTGCAAATACATACATACATACATACAGTAACATCCCTTTTAAAGATTGAATTTAATTCAAGTTTTCTAAAAAAAATTTCTGTCCAGATTTTCCTCTCTTTACTTATGACTATGCAATTTTTTTTTTTTTTTTTTTTTTTGGTACCGGGGATTGGACTCGGGTCCTTGCACTTGCGCAGCAGGCGGCGAAACCACTGAGCTAAATCCCCAGCCTATGACTATGCCTTTTTGAGGAAAGGTTTTTCTCTTTTCACAATGCTTTACATACATTGCAAGCAAAACATCAAAGGTTGGCCTCAGTTTTGAACAAGATATCTAAATGGGAATAATTTGCAGGCCTCCTTAGACACACAACATACAGGAAACAGGGGTACAAATCATGAGTTAAACTGCAGGTCATCAAGTTTGACTCTAGGACTAGAAAAAAGCCAAGGGTTGTACAGAGCAGGCCTGTTAGGTCACAGCTTTCTGGGTGTGTATGAGCCTGGAATGATAGTGGTCATTAAGGAGGAGACTATAATAATGTGGCTAATAGATACTACACATATATTTGGCTTTATAAGTATTAGTTTATTTCCATCAATAAGTCCAATTATCACTGCTCTAAAATAGCAAGAACTGGGCTGGGCATTTAGCTCAGTGGTGCCGCCACCTGGCTCACAAGCGCAAGGTCCCAAGTTCAATCCTGGTAACAAACAAACTATATATATATATATATATATATATATATAAAATAAAAATAAAATACCAACAACCATAATTTGAGGGCTAATGATGTAGTCATTAAGGTACCAGAATCTATATCTCCAAGTAATTCATTCAAAGCAGACCCAAGAATGTACAAATCATGTTTACTGTGTGGTTCGTGGCTCTTGCATTGGTCCTCTTCCCATCTCATTCTGCACACTCTGGCAACTCCTATACCCTACATGCCAAACACTGGGAGACTATACCTCCAGTTCCCTCTTCTCTTCTCTTCTCTTCTCTTCTCTTCTCTTCTCCTCTCCTCTCCTCTCCTCTCCTCTCCTCTCCTCTCCTCTCCTCTCCCCTCCCCTCTCCTCTCCTCTCCTCTCCGTCTCCCACTTCCCATCTCTCCTCTCCTCTCCTTCTCTCCCTCTCTCCCTCTCTCCCTCTCTCCCTCTCTCTGTCCTCAGTGTTACTCAACTCAGAAAACGATGCTTATATACTCAGGTGCTAATGCCAGATACTCTAGAATCATCCTTGGTTCTCTCCCCCGTCAGCCCCCACACACCATCAACGATCAAATCCTATCACATCTCCTCTGCAGCATTTCTCAAACCCATCTACTGTCTGTCCCTACTCTCAACACCTCATCTATCTTAATCTGTCACCATCTCTCTTCTCACAGATCCATTCTGTACCCTACAGATGAAATATAATCAGTTACTTTACCGTCAAAACCCTTAGGTGGCTTCCCATTACTGGGCTTTCTTCAGTGCCTCTGACACAGACAGTGGACCAAGACTCAGGTCTATGTTTGTGCTGATCCTTCAACCTGCAATGCTCCCCTGTCAGTCTCCCAAGATGTCTTTGTCCTTTCCCCCCTCCACAATATCACTGCAACATCTTACATTCATCCTGAGCATTCTGATGAAGCATGTTTTTCTGTGTGGAGTCTCATAACTTCCTACAGCAAGTTTTCTCTCTAGACATAAGATTCCATAGCACTCCGTACTCTTCCTTTTGGTTACTCATGCTCTGTCCATTCTCTATATGACCCTAAGCTACACAAGGGCTGGACTGCATGTTTCCCTTAAAAAGTCACTTAACACACATTTATTTAACATCTCCCATACACTAAGTAATATTACCACATTGCTCATTGCTATATCCCTAACACCCAGAAGAATATCTGGTACTGATGATTTCTCAGTAAATGGTTTTCAAGGAATGAATAGATGAATAAGGCTATAGACTTATACCAAAGATGCACAGCACATTTTAAAATCTTAATCTTGAAAGGACATATGAATTTTATACATGTCTGTTTCCAAAAATTATGTAGACCCAATGTTTGTGGATTACATTAGTTCTTACTGATTTTGGACAAAAATAAAGTATTACCATAACTCAAGAAGAACAATTTCCCCATGTGGTTCAACAACTGCTCTAGAATAGTGACAGAGAAGAGTCAATCCACAGCTTGATAGAGAAGTAAAATCGCTGGGTTGGGTAGAGGCTTTGGGGAAACTAGTGACATCAATATAATTTTGATTTTTAGATAGTAAGGGGATGCAAGAGGAAAAGGAAAGAGATTCTTCTGATTAGGTATGTGCATACACAGCAGAGAATGTTGGTGGGAAGCGTCTTCAAAAAAGCAGATGGGCAATATTTTTAAATAGTTTTAGTGAAACAAACATGTTGTGGTTTTGAGAACTTAGTAAAAGGCAAATATCCCTCTGGTCTTCTGAAGGTTGAAGGGCACAATTGTTTGTCACACAGGACCACACAGACAACATGCGTCCTGTGTCATATGACAACACCAAGACAAATTAAAAGTGGTAGAATGCTTAGTGATCTGTTTAAGGAGATATAGGGGTCGAGGAAGGGAAAGGAAAGGGGATGAAAAAGGAATGAAGTTGTGTTATGTCCATTTGCTTCCCACAAGGAATGTAAACACTATGTACTACACATATGTACTAATACACTAAAATGAAAGAGAAGATGTAGAAAGACATTGTCATATTTTAAGTGCTAGTATGTGTTAAAAATGCTGTAACGATTTATTATCAAACTTTCATTTAAGCCAGGTGTGGTGGCACACACCTGCAATCTCAGCATTCGGGAGGCTGAGGTAGGAGGATCACACTGAGTTCAAGGCCAGCCTGGGCTACCTAGTGAGACCTTGTCTCAAAAAACAAAACAAAACAGACAAACAAAAAAACCTTTCATTTAATTATGCATGTTTCCTACAATCAAGTTAAAAATCCAACAGGTGTGTGCTAACCATTTCAAAAATACCTTTTTTCTCCAAATGACATTTAAAAGACAAATTTAATGACCTCCAAAAGGTACTTCTTGGGAATATCTCGTTCTTCAGGGACAGCAAATGAAGAAGACATCCATCTCATCTAGGTCTCTGCCTCCATTCTAGCATCATCCCTGTTTGTCTTTCATTAGCCACACCCTCCCCACATGGCCCAAACTCAATGTTTACCTGCTCTGTGGGGTGCTTTGGTTTGAGTTTTTTGCCATACATGTATATTCAAATCACTATACAGTCCCTGAGGAAATGCAAAAAAGTATTTGTGATGAGAAACTGACATGGTCATTTATTGCTTAAAAATCTAATACTATAACTTGTCCCTTTCTAACTCCTCCCAATTTAATTTAGCACTCTGTTCAGAGCAAATACTCAATAAATAGTTTCTGTTGGACTCTAAATCCACCCAGATTCTTCTAAATTCTAAACCCCAGATTCCCTCTCTTACCCAGATACCAGGTGAACACCAGCATCTACAGCTTCCGCGGAGCTGGCAATTGAGGACAGGTGATCGAAGGTCTCTTTGAACCACCGCTTCTGCATGTAAATGGGTGTATCTGTAGTCAGGGAGAAAGACAATGCGGGACAGTAGTCCACTAGCAGAACTGCACTTTGCCAATTTATGATTTCAATCAGAATAGGGCAAAAGAATCTTCAACTGATTGGTGACACTAGGATTATAGGCACCATGCCCAGCTTGACTGATTATTTGTATACACCTTTAAAGTTAATAGAATTTTTATAAGTAGCTTCTGTCTTGATGTTCTTTATTGCCATCAGTGGAAAGTCAGAGCCATCAGTCCATGCATTCACTGAATACTTCTGCTGCCCAAACTCAGGGAATCCTGTGGAACTGCACATCCTGGCCTCTTCTGACAGGCAGGAGCATGTGACTGGCTTTCTCAATGAGCTGTCACCAAAAGACTTCAAAATCACTTTCTAGCCAGAGTGTTTAACCACAGAGGTGAGACCTTTGGGAGCCCCCCTTGCTCCCATGTACAAGTACTGAGGACAGTCAGGGTACTGGCTGTGCCATTGGCCTTGGTCCTGGCTGACGAATGGACACTTGCCAAGGCTCCATGGACGTGTGATGTGAGCAAGAAGAAACCTTTGCTTTTGATCCTGCTGCAGCTTGGAAGCTGTTTTTGTACTGTGGCCTCACTGAGCCTTTCCCAACAGGTCCATCCACAGCATGTCAAAGCTGCACAGTACACTCACATGCCTGCCTTCTGTGTGGACAGACTTCCACCTATCTGTCAGACCGAGGAGCTGAAATCCCTCTCTCACCTGGATACTCATGAGGAATAAGGATCCCAGCGGCCACATCACTGGTGGTATCAGGAGTAAACTTGTCTGAGATGATGGTGATGGAACATCGAGGGACCAGCTGGGAAATGCACACAGCAGTGGAGAGCCCTATCACGCCTGCTCCAACAACAGCAATCCGCACTGTGTCCATGGGCCTGCAAGGAGAGAAATGGGGCTCATTGTAGGGATGACTCTGTTCAGGCATCTGGCTCTGACTATTCTTCCCTAGGTTGGCAGCCTCTTGCAATAAGTCCAACTGGTGTTCCTTGTGAACTACCCTACAGCAAATGCTCCTTTAAATGCTCTTTCCCCTAAATAATGAGGTTTCTATGGGTGTGTAGGTATTTGCACAAATAGCCTGGACTTGCCTATAGCACACACCAGTAAGTCAGTCTGCATTTAGGGGGAGAATTCTACTCCTTCTACCCTTTCCTGAGCCTTATTCCCCGGGAGCACATGCTGGGGAAGGTCAGAGAAAGAGGTAAGTAAGGCAGGGAAAATGGCAGAACTACAGCCTCTGTCCCCAGAACCCACTGTGGAGCAGTCATGACAGGGGATGGCCCTGAGCAATTTGGAACTTAACTCGTGGCCTTTCTGTACTTGTTTTGAAAGATCCTTCATCATCTTGTCTCCTCTCCCACTTTCCCTGCCTCTGTCACTGTCTCCTTCCTGTACTCCAGCTCAGTCTTAACCCGCCTCCATCAGACAGCCTTGTCCCGACCCCGTTAGGAGCTGGTTCTGTAACCTACAGAATAACCTTTGCCTCTAGTGCCTCATCTGTAAGAAATCAAATAAACTTTTATTACCTCCCTTGGGTATTGGATTAGAGACGCCCGCGAACTGCCTGCTAAGGGGCACCCCGTAGTCCAGGCTGTGCATCAGGAGCTGGCACTGCATGTAGAAGCCAGAGAGTGGCTGAGGCTTCAGTGCCCTCCCAGCCCTTACCCTGGGCAGTGGGAAGCCACACTCCACGCTATCCTATCCACCCCCTTGGCTACCATGTTCATCTTTCCATGTCCACTCCTGCTCTCTGACTAGCTCTCCCTGTCTGATTCAGGTTCAAACTCTAGAAAGAAAAAATACAGTTGTTCCAGTTAGTCATTGCCACCCTTTTGAGCAAAGTTCTAGCCCCAGGCCAGCTGATTGGACTAATTCAGCCTGCATATCTGCTGTCCTTGGCATAATCACCCTTCTGCATGCAAGAGCAATGGTCAGGAAGAGGGATCACATAGTATAAGCCATGGCACCACACACAGAGCTGCACGTTTACTTAGGAGGGGCTATGGGCAAGGCAAACGGGGTGGAGTCTGGCTATCAGTGGTTTTTACCATCTGTTCTGGCTCTGAAAGCCTGTCATGCTATGCACCTTTAAAGCCTAGCAAGGAGGTTTAAAGTGTGTTATTTTTAATCCTCAAGCAGCATATGCATTTCTGAGATGATTAATTTGGGCAGGCTAGCTGAGCAAGAGCGGGACTACAGACAGAGGGAAAAAGAGAGAAAGGTTCAGTGCCATCCAGTGGGGAAGACATGGGGAGCATGGCTCTGTACACGTTGCCTGGAGGCAGAAGGCAGACAGCCAGCCCTTGCTAGCTTCACTATTTCACATAAACTTCCCCTGCCTGGGCACATTCTCAAAGTACAGTAGCTCTGATAAATTACCTTGGGAGGGAAAGTAATCTGCAGCTGAGAGTAACCAGCTGCCAGAGGGGAGAGGATTGAGCTAGCAAGATAGTGTATGCCCTGGCACAATGAAATGACCTTTTTCTCCTTATCTCACTAAAACACACCCCCAATTTCCAGAGTGTAGACAGAATGAGTCCTGCACCCAAAGCAGAAGAATTTGAGTACCTGTCTCCGGAAAAGCAGCTTCAGAACACACCGAAGGCTCTGGCACCAAAACTTGTTTTCCAATGCCCAGTTGGTTGAGTGCCCTGAGAGACAGAGGGAAAGCAAAACCGCTTCCCATTGGGGAGTTTATTAAGGACATTCCTTCTAATCTTACTCTCCATTGGCCCATGAACTGTGTCTCTGTCACTGATTCCCCAGGATAAAGGAACAGGTGACCTTATTTTTGAAGCTCCCTGGAGCTATGTCTCTGCCAAGGCCCTGGGAGCTAGGTTGCCCTTGGCAGCCCTCGCTTGTCTGGCTCACAAGCCCTGCATCTCTCTTCCAGCCTGGGATTTCTCTAGCTGATTAACATATGTACTAAATAATGAGTGGTTTTTCCAACATCCAGCAAGTTCCAGCCAGAAGCAAATGTCCCTTATCTCTGGACCACCCAGCATTACCTGCCATCCCCACGGGTGCCTGGTACTGCTGGCCAGCTGTAGAGGGTGGGGCAGACAGTGGAGTGAGGGCCTGATAATCAACATAATGTTGATTACTAAGATGAGGGCCTGATCGCAGCTGAACAACTTATTCAGGAGATAAATTAAAATAGAAATGATGTGTCAAGACAATAAATAGGGGTCCAAGATCTCCTCAGTGGCATATCTTGGCACATCACTGCCACCTGTAGTGTAGCAGACACGTCTGCCCAGTATTACCAAGCTATAGGTGGCACAAGCTTCTGGCCCCTCCATAATTCAGCTGTGTTACATTAGAAGTAGCAGGGCCTTCCTGAGTTCACCTCCGACCAAGGTCAACTGATTCCCACTAAATTCTTCCCCTCTGAATTAACCATTTGCTCTCTTCTGCATAAGATATACTAGTGCCCTCATTCTACAGTCCTGCTTATGATAACTGCTACCAGCAGGTGTTCAAAGGCCTGCCCAGCTCCCTCCTTCCCACACTTGTAATGAATAAACACTGGATGTCCTTGGTGTCTTTTGTCTTTGCTGCCCAGAGCAGTTTAGATCAGCCCAAGATCCAGCTTCTCTCAAGTCTCTGCCTCTGTGTCTCTCGTTCTCTTTTTCCTATCTCACAGATATCATACTGTCTCATAGGAAACTGAGACCCACAGCTGGGATTTTTGATAACATCTCTTATATTGTAGAATGGGGAAAAGAATAACAGGACATACTTCCTCGCATTAACCTTTGTGCTAGCAAAAGTCTAAATACCCTATGTTAGTTAAAATACTATGATCACTATTTGAGACATCAAATTGTCTCCCTGGAAATCAGTATCCTGTCCATCCTGAGCTTAAGATTCACATTAAAGTGCACAGTGCCCAGCCCATACTAGACACTCAGCAAATACTGGTTACCTTCTTAAATATTTGGCTTCTATCTTAAATTATCTCCTGATGCTCAGTCTGAGTATCAAACTCTAACTCTCAAGCTGGTAACCAAAGCTTGCACTTTGGTATCAGGAGTCCTATTGGTCTAACCTTAAGAGTTACCTAACTTCTGAGTTTGTTTCCTCATCTGGAAGAGGGGTATATTAAATGATGTAGATATGTTATTTAATCTTCACATTCCCATAAGGGACATTTGGTTGTGACCCTGAATTTTCAAATAAGAAGTCAGAGGTTGGTTTCTTTAAGTAAGAGGTCTTAAAATCAGGCTTTTTTATTCACAGGTCTAAACTGCTTATCAAGGTCAAGTTAGTTCAAGGACCTCAAGTAGAAGGATTGAGTAACAAGGTTGTCTGCCTGAAGTTGACCTACTTGTATGTGGTTTGTCCTCCAAGCTTTCCAATGCTGCAGTAAAGTACTTCTTGAAATATTTACAATCAAAAATAGATCTGATGTGTTATGACTAGGTTCCAACTATTACAGATATAGAACATTACTATTTTCTAAGAATAAAATCAAAAGGCTGCACATATTAAAAATCCTCAGGCAATGGAGTATGTTTGGCTTCCTGCATGATGAATATTTGTAAATTGTTGCAATGAAAAGCATAATTATTCTACTACTAAAGAAAGTGGTTTTTTTCTTCATAATCTATGTATGTTTCAGTAGGAAGCACAGGAGTCAGGGAGCAATGATGCATACCTCTGATTCCCTGATGAAGAAAAGCAGTTACTCTAGGCAGGAGTGAAAACAGCCTAGCAGGACTACAATACAGTTTGGAGGGTAGGAGAGGGGAGCCAGTTCACGCCTTGATCACGGTACCCCATCCCCCATCTCAGACCTGGCACCAGGCTATCTGGGGAAAGAGCCAGGCTGAGGAAGGGAGCAAGGTGGCCCCTCAGAGGCAGTCTGGGTTATTAAATAAACCCATAGCCAAGCTATCCTCCCCACTGGGTACGGCAAATAGACAACGCCAGTCCAAGCCCTCAAAGAAACTGAAAAGAGAACAGGGTAAAATTTCTTAGTCATGCACCAGCACTCTTGTCACCAGAGCTGGCAGGTGGAAGACACCAGGGAGAGAGATGGTCCCCCCAACACAGGCAATTTTAATAATAATAACAATAATAAGCCATCTAGTTCTCCCATATACAAAGGAAATGTGGCACATGGAACATTTAGCACTCTACCCACAATTCTCAGTGGCCTCCCACCGAGGAAGAGAACACCCAGGAATGCCTAGCAGAGAAGAAGAAAGAGAACCTCAGTGCTGCAACAAAATCAGAAAACAAGCCTAGGTGTGACTCCTGGGAGCCAGGAGAGAGACATGGCAACCTCTTGTGGTTTCTGTGGCCAGAGCTGACCCAGGTAATAGTTGATTAGAACCATAGGATAGTGGTCTTTAGGCCATAAAATAGGCAAGAAAAACCAGTAAAGGGAAGACATGGAGAAGTCCATGATATTTAACCTCCAAATCAATCAAGACAATCAGATCCATAGAGATCCACAAGGGGACACGCCCAGAGCTCAAACTAGGACACAAGTTAGGAGGGAGGGGCTAATCTCGACAAATAATTGTCTCTACAGGAGGAAATCATGTGGCTAGTGGAAATCAGGCAGTGACACTGGTGAAGGGGGAGCTGTGTGGAAAAACTGGGTTACTGCTGTAGCAACTGTGCAAAAGTTTTTATTCTTGTTTCTATAATTATTTGGGCAATTGTAGTTATTGTAACCTTGCTAATTTGTTGGATTTGGGCTATTCTGGTTGGTTTTTGTTGTTGTTTCTATTCTTTTTTCTTTTTCTTCTTATTCTCTGTTTTCTTTTTTTTAACTCTTCTTTCCTTTGTTTCTCCTTTATTGGTATTGGAAGATTTCAATGCTTTAAGTTTCAAGGGATTCCCATTCGACCTGCTCCCTCTTTTAGTGTGTCTTCCTTCCTCTTCTTTAACCCTTTCTCCTCTTTATTCTTAGTCCTTCCCTACCACTCACTAGCTCATCTTCTTACCTCCTCCCAACTCCTATCAATCGAATGGCATAAACTTATAAAAGAGACTGTAGAAGTACATTAGAGAATAAGAATTAACCAGTGCTATGAATTAAACAGTACCATTTAAGGGCATATCAGAGGAATCTTTAACAAAATTGGACTTAGGGGAGCCAAACAAAACTACCAACAAACTATTAACAGGTACCAGCAATCTCACATTCTCCTTCAACCTCTATAAATGTATTGCCACCTATCTGCATACATCCTCTTGACTACACAAATACTCTTCCAAGCTACCCTCCTACACCTAATTTTTACTCCAGCTATAAAATAACTCCAACAGAGTCCAATTTCCTATCTATTTTTAATCTATTGATATATCTTTTATCTTCCTCTCTTCCCATTGACATACCTCCTTCCCTTTATTCTTCCTCCCTACATCCCCATACCTCACACATCCCAGCACAAGATACTCTGTAAAGGGTATTAACAAGAGGGTAAAATTATCAAAACAAGTTTACATGTTTATGATTGATGTATGCTCAGTTCTGTTGTCATTGTTATAATCAACAGAAATTCTGTCCTTATAGCACAGTAACAGAGTCCAACCTAATTAAATTGAAAGCTGGTAGGGATGAACACTATCCCTAGGCAAATAAAGCCACAGACACATCACTGAAAACCAGATTTTAACTAAAGATATCTTCATAACAACAAACTCTCCTCATTCTACTCATTCTATTTGACCTCAACCCTCAGCACCAAAAAAGAGGATATGAAAAAACAAGGCAAATAAAAAGCTCCCAAAGTCTTCTATCTCTCCCAAAGCAGATCCAAGGGGCACTGATGGAGTGCAAAGCAAACCTGAGATAGCCACACATCACAAAATAATTTAAAAAGAGCTGAAGAAATTTGGTGAGTTCACAGAGGACATGAGACAAAAGGTGATGGAACTAACATACAAATTGGCCAATGTAGAATGGGAGAAACAAATAAAAATTGAAAGAGCTGGCTGAAATGGTGCAAGACATGAATGACAAATTCACCAAGAAATAGATTCCACAAAAATATGTTAGATAGGAACTCCAAAGATAAAAAATTGTATAGAATTCATAAATTGTCAAAATGACCAATGTGAAGATAAGGTTTCTGGGGTTGAGGACAGAATGGAAAAATCACAATAAATTACTCAAGAAGACTTTAAAAATGATAAGAGAACAAAAATTCATTTGACAGTTACTAGATGATGCTGAGAAAACTAACCTAAGGCTAATCGGAATTAGAGAAAAATTAGAAGACAACACATATGGAATAAATAAAATCTATTTACAGAAATCATAACCAGCTTTCCAAGTATGAGGAAAGATTCAAACATATAATTAAGTGAGGCTTATAGAACAACCGTTAATTACAGTGGGCGCATCTGTCCAAATTGGACTATGACGCATCATAGTCTAAATTCCAGTTGTCCAACAAAAAACAGAATCTTAAAAGCTGTCAGAGTAAAGAAAAAAAATCATGTATAAAGACAAACTATCAGAATTACAGCAGACTTTTCAACACAAACTTTAAAGGCCAGGAGAGTTGGAGTGAAATGTTTCAAGCCCTAAAAGCAAACAACTTCCAACTCAAGCTAATATATCCTGTAAAACTATCTTTCAAAAGTAGTGGAGAAATAATAACATTCCACAACAAAGAACATCTTAAGAGATACATGAACACCAAACCAGCACTCAAAAAATTACTCAACATATCCTAGACAAAACAAAGCCAACACAGCTAAAAAATCAGGTGTAATGAATACACCAAGTAAGGCAAGTACTTTAAAAATAAATAAAATTAAGTCTTCAGTGGAAAAAGAATGCAATGATAGGAATAAATCAATAACTTTCAGTAATAACCCTCAATGACCTCAACTCTCGAATAAAAAGACATGGATTGGCAGGCTGGATCACACAACAGAATACAACAGTCTATTGCATTCAACAAACTCATCCAATCCAAAAATAAATCCATGGGGTGAAAATCAAAGGTTGGAGAACAATATTCCATGAACCATGACACCTAAAGCAAGCAAAAGTAGCAATCTCATCCTCAGATGAAGTAAACTTCAAGCTAAAACTAATCAGAAGAAGCAAAAAAGATCATTACATATTAGTTAAGGAAACTATTAACAGGAAGAGATAACAATTGTAAACATATATGCACCAAATAATTGTGCACCTAACTTCATAGAGAAAACACTGCTGGACATAAACACCAACACAATCATAGTCGGTGACTTCAATACCCCACTTTCACAAGAAGAAAGACCATCTAAACAAAAAGTTGATTTAAAAAATCAGAGCTGAACTACATCTTAGATTGAATAGATATCTACAAACTGTTCTAGCCTAATATAACAGAATACACATTCTTCTCAATGGCATACACAGAACTTTCTCCAAAATAGATCACATACATGTCCACAAAGCCTCCTCAAATAAACACGAAAGAATTGAAATCACCCTTTGTGTGATATCAGATCATTGTGCACTGAAACTAGATGTCAATCACAAAAGAGACTACAGAAAATTTATAAACCACTGGAAACTTACTAACACACTCCTGAACACTCAATAGGCCACAGAAAGAAATCAAAGAAATAAATAAACAATTCCCGAAATCAAACAACAATGCCAGTAAAATGTACCAGATTTTTATGGGACACAAAAGGAAAGTTTATTGCAGTTAGTGCTCACATTAGAAAAACAGAG